GGTAGTAACCGTTGTCCCCCTGCTTTCTGTGTACGATTCGTATTATATAAATGATTTAATTTGTTTGTAAATAAGAAACTACTAGATAAAATTTCTAATGCTAAAGCTCCTTCGTGATGCTTGCTTAATTCGTTATGAGATGTGTCGAATGCGTCTGGTGAATGAATTTTCTTGCGCGATTGTTGTGTGGTTCAACAAAAGAAAGTCCTTCTACTTTTGGCCTTAAACTACCCGTCTGTATTCTTGTGTTGTCACATTACGACGGTGATAGCGATTAAAGCTTTANTCTCGTATGGTCGTGTGCTTCAGTTTTATTCAGGCGTGGTAGTAACCGTTGTCCCCCTGCTTTCTGTGTACGATTCGTATTATATAAATGATTTAATTTGTTTGTAAATAAGAAACTACTAGATAAAATTTCTAATGCTAAAGCTCCTTCGTGATGCTTGCTTAATTCGTTATGAGATGTGTCGAATGCGTCTGGTGAATGAATTTTCTTGCGCGATTGTTGTGTGGTTCAACAAAAGAAAGTCCTTCTACTTTTGGCCTTAAACTACCCGTCTGTATTCTTGTGTTGTCACATTACGACGGTGATAGCGATTAAAGCTTTAAAGGATAAAGCTCTCGGCGTTGATCAATAGCTGAAGGATGCGCCGTGCATTCGACTTCATTAAGCATCGTTAGGAGTTGATTGAATGCATAACTGACCTTAACAATGAATCGCGGTGGCCTACCGATGTATCGGGTCAGCGCTGCTATTCTCCCAGAAAGGTCTGGTACAAATTTGCCGATCGCGGAGGGATGAAAGGCTTGGTGGGCCATGGGCGCAGGGACCAATTTCACGTGTGTGTTGTAGGGCACCTCTGACCATTGCGCCACACGCGCTCCTGTGATAACGATTACCTCTTTCTATCTACTTGTATGGTCAATAAAAATCGTTTCTCAAGGATATTGCTTCGATGAGTACCACTTACAGCAATACCGAGTGCTACAGAATGGACTCCACTGAGAAAAAAAAAACAGATTGCGAGGTGCATCTCCACATCTAATTTGCGGATCCTAGCACTTGCATTCGATTCATTTCCTGGTATCAGTTATCCACTAAGGTCTTCGAACTTTTCCTTTGTGGACTCAGCTGCTACTTGAAGATTGCCATCTTCCTTATAAATGCCATGAAATACTTATCCAGTCGTTTTTCCATGAGTTCTTGGATAGCCGGGAAGAGCGTTCACATTTTGATTGAAGTGAATAAGCTGCAATTCAGTCATAAAAAGACTGCCAACTGGTAATCAATCGATAGTCGTCATGGGCAAGGACAAACTGCAGGTAGTCGTTACTTTATTTGGCCACTTCATTTGAATCGCCTAGGTGTGACAACGAGCACGCACATGGCAATGACGAACGGTTGTGAATCGACTCGAACCATTCCAACTTTGAAGAAAGTGATGGTGCCGGAACGCTTGCTAAATAAAGGCTTTACAACAACCTCGTCTTGACCTATAAACAAGGAAGACATATTGGTTACTCATATTGAGCTTAAATGAGTACCGATTCATGAAGACACTGTTCATGTATGATGGAAAATACCCCGTTGGATTGATAAGCTTACTTCCAGGATGTTAAGAAGCACTATTGTGCCTAAAATTTCGATGCCTTCGATTTCTTCAGAGCCGCGATGATTCTAGTTTGGTGACCGCAGGGTTATTGCTTTCAGAGTCACCATAAATGTATCAAGTTGAAACAAATTGACTTGAATACGTAGTCGGGCAATTCGAGGATTTAGAAAAAAAAAAGGATAAAGCTCTCGGCGTTTATCAATGCCTGGGAGATGTGACATGCATTCGAGGTCTACCAGTGTGTCAAGTCAGTGTTTTGTTTTTCCAGACAGACCTGGTACCAATTTGCCAACCTTGAAAAGATAGGAAGCTTCGCGAGGCCGATTGGGTGAGAGAAAAACGAGATTAGTGGGTGTCTTAGTGTGCACGACAGAGCACCCCTAACGTCTTTGTTATCCAGGATCCACCATTAGTCCTTAATGTTATTGAGCAAGTACTGTAATTTGAAATAGCTCTCTGTTTACTGAGAAAAATGCTCAATCCAAGTAATACGAACAGGTCAGAATTTCCTAGGACTTCTGAGCAGGATCGACTTTTAACGAACGGAGGAAATTTCTTTTAGCAGACGTCATTCCTACTAACTGCTGGCATCATGCGCCTACTTTAGTGGTTCGGAATACTATTATGCATGTTTAAAAAGAAGCTCTCGCTGTTGATCAATCGCTGACGTATGCGCCATGCATTCGACTTCATTAAGTATCGTTGGAGGTGATTGAATGCATATCTGACCTTTGCAATGATTCGCGTTGGCCTACCGATGTATCGAGCCAGTCCTGCATTCCTCCCAGACAAGTCTGGTACCAATTTGCCGATCACGGAGGGATAGAAGACTTGGTGGGCCATAGGCACAGAGATCGATTCCAAGCGTGTGTTGCAGGGCGCCTCCAACGACTGCGCCACACGCTCCCTTATGCACGTTAGCATTCAGTTATCTGTTCAAAGGCTCTCCCGACAACTGCGGCTCCGTTCTTTGCTTTCAAGCAAAAAAAAATCCTTCTTGCCGGACGTTTTTTAGAACTCATTATGTATCAGTCACATCCATCGTTCAGACAAATTGTTACAGCGATGCTAAAATGTCATCGAATTTGCTTTAAAGATCTGAGAAATTTTCATTATGCCTTATAGCGCTGAACAGTTGGAAACTGTAGTTTCTACAGTGAATAGAAATAGGAACAGCATGACAATTAAGTGACAAATTAATAATCGCCCAATTTTTGTAAACCAGTAACCATTGAAAATATTTCCATGGCCGACCTTCTATTTATCCTCTCGCTGAACATTAATTCGCTGATTTCTTGACAAACGCACATAAGGTTGTTGTATACTATTTACCTCAAAACAAAACTATACCTCAAAACTAACCCTTCGACGGATCTAGCTTTCCTAACAGCCTAGAAAAGTCAAATTGACTGCTGCGACATACAAAACTTAACGCTCCCATAACTTACTTGGACACAGATAATTGGATGGCCCGCCCTCACTGGACGTGCGGGCCCCACCAGAATTTCCAATTTTTCGAAATTCTGCTGGTTTAGCCAATGTGGTTTCCTGGAGCCCTGAGGACAGTGTAAGCAAAGTCTACCTTGGGTCCTCACCACCACAAACAGTCGCCACCCTTGTCGACCAGAGCGAGATTTGCCACAGTGCGACTAGTTTGGCACCAGGACGGTGATGGATCCTGGTATTGGTTTACCCTCAGCTGGGCTTCTCGATTGAAATATCGGTCCATTTCACGGTTCGGAAAACCCTGCTGAAACGATAAATCCTCTGTTGAACATCAAAGCCCGATACCCAGGTATACCTCACAGCCACGACGAGGCGGTAAACCGTTGTGACAAGCGTTTTCATAACTTCAAACAGATAAGCCGCGATACCTAAATTTCTGTCGCATTGGAAACATTACCGGACAATCACGGCTATCAAACATCAGCATCCTTCATAAAACGACATCACCAACTGGGCATACCTCATTCGAGGAGATGTCCCGCTGATGAAGATCCGACTCGACACTAAGGCGAAGCCGCCACGTCGAAACGAATAACAAGCGTGGACCATCCACTCGGCTCATCGGCTCTTATGAAGATAAAGACATCGCAGCATTGGCCGAAAATAAATATATTTGTCAACCTCGTGTAAGCTCATCAAAGAAAGAATACACGTTGACTAGTCGCACCGAGGTTAAAGGAAAATTAGTTTCGAATTATAGCACTGGAAACAGTCCTGACCTTCCTAGGCTGCGAGAAAAAGCGAAACTCTCTGAAACGCTTTCCACTACAAATAAAAAGTTTAAAAACAACCTTGTGTGTGCTTATCAAGAAAACAGTGAGTTACTGAATTATTTCTGGAGAACAGTCTTTATCACACTTTTCCAACCGATTTTCATTCAACTTACGTATAAATAATTAATCTCTTCAGTTGACTTTTTAAATCAATTTTTTGTATCAACTGGTGGACCACGGAGCAACTCCCAATCCCGACTTTCTATTAACCTTGGAAATGACGGAATAATTCACTGTTTTCTTAATGAGCAGACGCGAGGTTGTTAACAACAAGATTTATTAGGCCCAATAGCGTTTCGGTGTTTCCGCCTTCTTCAGAGTCCTTTTGTTCTTTTTAAGTGTTTATGTTATTTAATGAAGAACAGCCGCACAGAATCTAACATGGGTCAGGAATATCTGCACAGAGTTCTACAGTTGTCAGGGTGCGTCATTCCTGAGGTGTGTACGACTCTGTACCGCTGATCTCCATTAAATGACTGGAAGACTTAAAAAGAACAAAACAGTGGTTGTTTAAAAAAGCTGTTTACTGTGGGGATAGAAATTTTCGTATAAAGTTTTCTATACTAAGGTTAAGAAAATACTTGACTGGGTAAAAGTGACATTTAACTCTTCCAGAGTTTGGGGAAGGGGAAGCCACCAAGTCAGCCATTATTATACTGAAAAAATCTTCTTGTTAACAAACTCGTATCTGCTCATCAAGTAAGCAGTGTATTTTGTATCATGGATGGGCAGTCCAAAATTTCCTTCTGGAAGGTCAAGTGGAAGTCCTTCTGGAAGGACGAGTGCTTGCGATGACTACTTAAGAGAGCAAAATTCTCACTAAGGCCGCTATGTAGTGCTCAAACAGACTTCTTAAGGTTCTCATGATTCTGCGTGGAGACGGACCATTTGAACATAAAGCATTCACTACCTTTATATGTTCTGAAATCGTCTTTTCGCACATCAAAATTTGATGGAACACACAGATTATGAGCATCGTATCAAGTGAATGGCTGTGTGGGTACGGAGCAGTATTGGTTAATAACTTCCGCTCAATTTGATAACTCTGTACATGGCCTTTACATAAAATCTCATCTGTACGATATGAGTAACGTTCACCGGACAGATTTCATACTGTATCGTCCTGATATCGATCCAAGTAGATAAATCCCAGATTTACGATACGAGGCAGAAAAATGGGCACCAGATTCAATTCGGTGACGTGGGTTTGACTGCCGTCTTGATGTGGACACGCGTGCTCGATGCGCAGGTATGGGTCCGGTGTATTGAATGGGCCAAAATCAGCTCCACATCCAGAAACTGAAGTACAACGATTATGTTTTGTCGAAAATTTTCTTGCAAACTTTTATAAACAATGTGTAGAGCAGGACATATAGTACACTTTAGAACAATTCTAGTACATTTTATCACTGGTTGTAGAATGAAACAGATCCGTTCACTGTTGCATCCCTATTGCACTTTATACAAACTGCTGGTTTCTTGTTGTCTTTCAGCCCTTTAAAAATTTTTCTCAAATAAATTGCTGAATTTTCTCCATTCTATCTCTTTCCAGTATTCGCGGCAACATAACCTCTACGGGAGTCACAGTTAGGGGAACATTGTGATCAGTATGACCTCTGTAAATGTCATCCCTAGTGGCGATTTATATTGGCGTGCAGAACACTTTTCTTATAGTGGTTCTAGTGATTTGATAGCTTACCGACCACAGGTGCGGTGGACGTTTACCGAGAAATAATTCATTCTGCACTTAAAAGTATAGAAAACAGTGGAAGAGGAAACTGGCTGAGAGCAAGGCAAAGCAAGGGCCTCGGTGGTGCAGCGGATACCGTATAAGTTCCCGTAAGGGGCAATCGGGGCTCGATCTGGCCTGTGGTCCAAGCTTTGCAATTATCTCAGTATCCTTGTGATTTTATTTCACATGATACCTTCCAGTAAAAGAAACAGTGGCGAATAGATAAAAAGTTAAACATTAGAAAGCAACTACTTCCCGGACGAGAGTCAATTGACTGATGATTTGATTGGCAGAAGACTGTCATTCTAATTTTAGTGCCTCTGGTGAATTTTAGGTATCATTCTATGAATGATCAAGTATAAAGGTGCAAGCTAAAACTTAGCAAATAGTACGATCCAAATAGCACTCCTAGTCTTTAAGAGATGTTAACAGAACAGATAAGAGATTAACACAATAAAAAATATCTTGGCTTATACTAGCTGCCTACTCTTTTTCATGGCAGGGTACTGTTTGAAATACAACCAAAAGATGCTGAGATATGAGCAAATCACGGAAACACAACTGGACTTCGAAACCCTTTCCGAAACCCACGCATTGCCCACCTCACCTTTGGCTCATCACCATTGAAGAGTTATTGCTGACAGCACTGGTAGAGTAAAAATAAGGCCTAGAGGAAAGCAAAGCCAAAGCTTCAGCTTGAGTGGGGAATAGCAAGTGATCCCCGGGAAGGGTCTTCTCGATTTCGAAACCCAACTGATGTCCCGTGTTTTGATGATACCTCTGCCCTCTTGTGGTTTCATTTCGCAATAAAAATATCTAATTAGGAAATCAGCTCTAAAGAACAACGGCCAAAATTGTTGTGCAGTCTATTTCAACACTGGTTTGACCTGTTTCGCTTTATCTGCGCTGTTGTTTTCGAAAACTGATGTGGTGAGAGCGAGATAAGGGGCCAACGAATACGAAGTGTCACCTAAATGGGTGCAGATCCCCATGCTCAATTTCCCACTCAAACCAATGGAACCCCAGGTCCGCGTTTCACTGGTATTGGAGGAATGTTAACTTTTTATTGTTTCTACTTCTGTTCAGCAAACACGAGGTGCTATTTTACTTCTTTATTTACGTACAAGTTGACGTTTCGGCGGATTTCGCCTTCCTCAGAGCCTGAAAAGGTCAGGTTGACAGCAATCTATTCGGCCAAACACCTCCATAACTAAACAGAGGAAACGCTGAACCAAGATTTCAATCACATTTAACACAGCTCCGCACACTCAGCGCGGCATTCTGGATTAATTCTAAGAATCTGAAAATGAACCGCAGGGAGGAATGCCTCATTATAACGCGTAATATTGGACAGTATATAAACCTGTTATTCTGATGGGAGGGGCAAATTACGCTTCCATGTGAATTCTGAGCCGTCGGTCTTCACACGACATACTCAGTGGAAGACTCAGAAAGCGGTGAGTGTGCAGAGCTGTGTTAAATGTGATTGAAATCTTGGTTTAGCGTTTTCTCTGTTTGGTTATGGAGGTGTTTGGGCGAATAGGTTGCTGTCAACTTGACCTTTCCAGGGCTAATTCAATGCACCGTGTATAAAAATTAACAATATATCGAAACAACGGGAAAAATAATGAAGTCGGGGTCAATCAATTATCCGAATTTCGACAGCAGATTTAGTCAAATCGATTATCGATTGAATTGCTTGACTATTAAATTGAAATGTTTCTTATTTTTTGAGAAACCTGTCCTTCCATATCTACTGCTCTGATCATGGCACCTTCCGTATTCGATTCACTTCCTCACACCCACCACCCACGAATATCTTTCAGCTTCTTGCGTGTAGGTTCGACTAGTGCTTGAAGACTTTCGAATCGTCATAAATATCGCTGGATGAGCCGTGGATGTAATCAATTCTTCCTGGAGTCCTAAGATGGCAGGGCTAGAGTACTCCTACTTGAATTTCAAAGAGCGAATTTTTCACAGACAAGTTTGGCATGAATTTCCTGACCCTGGAGTGACAACAGACATGGTGAGCACGGGACGAGGTGAAACCAGCCCCACGTTCCTAATGATCGGCATCACTTTTGCTGCTACACCTCTTTCCCTTAACCAAATTTAAAATAGAACACAAAAGATAAACTGCAGATTCGAACCCCACCTGAGTCCCAAATTTCGCTTATGTCACAGCATCATTCCGGTTTTACCAAAAACAACATATTGAAAAAATAATAGGCAGTAGACAAAGATTAAACGATTATAACAAAAAACTCGAATACCTGTAAAAGAGCCATTTCGATCTGACCATGTTCTTCCCATGATATCATCAATTTCCCAAGGAAGCGCTGAAAGGAATGATATCAAACTGAGTTCAGTGCCAATTTCTGCTTTTCAGATCATTCTCACTCAGTTGCTTGATGATTGCTGAAGATACCATTAGGGCAGAAGGAAAACTAGTTGAATACGAGACAACCAAGGGCCTCCATTGATAAAGGGGATAACAAATTAGCTACAGGCAACAGTAGTCGCGGGTTCGAAGCCCATCTGAGGTTCTCAGTTTTGCGTATATCTCAACAACATTGTGATTAAATTTCAAGTCGCACGCTTCTATGAAAAAAAAGAATAAGCAGTATGAAAACTTAAAATATTGAAATCAATTTCTTTGCAATGCATGTGTAGTTCTGTAGAAAACAGTCGAGTATCCGATTATTCGAATAATCAAAACAAATAAAGCAAGTATGAATAATTTTAAACATTTTTGCCACTGTGAACGTATTTCTCCATGGTATTAGGTTATTTTATATATGTTATAACTTGTAGGGCGCGTGTAGCGCAGTGGTCAGAGGGGTCCTACAATACACATGAGATCGATCGCGTGCTCTAGGCTCACCAGGCTCTAATCCCCCCGGGGTCGGCAAACTGGAACCAGACTTGTCTGGGAGGATAGCAGCACTGGATCGATAGATTGATCGACCACTGCGATTCGTTATAAAACCCAGATATGCATTCAAGCACCTCCAGCGACGCTTAATGAAGTCGGATGTATGGTGCATCCCTCAGGAATTGATCAACGCCGAGAACTTCATCCTTTATCCTTTAATTCCATCCACAAGCATTTTCATTTGAAGTAAACGAAGACGCGAAACGTTAGCCTATTAAGTGCTTTGCAACAACTTCTTGTTAAGGAAAAAGTTACAAATATCTCAGCATCACTGTAGTTTTATCACATCTGTACTAATTATCTGAAATAGAAAAACTCACAATCTTCATCAACGAGATCAATGCGAACACTACCAGCTTTCAGTGGATTTGTCGGACATCGAAGTCGACCGATGACATGAATGCATTCGGTCGTTCCGGTGACTTTCAGAGGAAGGTGATTCAGAAGCATCATTAAAATAAGAAGCATCATAGCCACCTCCTCGCTCAACGAGGCGATGAGATGGTATGAGAAGAATATCAGCAACATCGCCGGAAAGGTCGGCAGAATTGTTTGCATAGGCGATAACGAAGACATCCTTCGGTTGTTGTCTGTAAAGGTGGACGAAGCAAGCTCAGACCCGAACTTGAAGTCAAAATTTCTTCAGTCAAAAAATTTCCAAGTGTCAACATTAATTGAGTAACAATTTTGATGACAGTCGTGATTGTGATAGTTTCAACAGCGATAAAAATAATTTAAATCAAAAATAAAAATAATAACAACCTGAAATGAGGAACATGATATTGTCAGTAAAAGTAATACTGATCTAAAATGCTTAGTGATGGAATAGCAATAGTTTGCGATGTAAGAGAAAGGTCAGAGAAGAGAATGACATTAGCGAAAATCATTCTAGCAGTAATAAGAGCAAAACAATAATAGTAATAAGCATTACCAACACTTCTCAACAGTTTACCGCCTCATCGTGGCTGGGAGGTGTTCCTGGGAGTTGGAATGCAATGTATAGCGGGGAGATTCGTCCCCCAGCAGGGTCTCTCAAGCTGAGAAGGAGTCCGGCGTTTCCATCAGGAAGCCTGGCTAAGAATAAACCAACATCAGAATCCACCACCGTCCTGGAATCAAGGTCGCATGGTAGCCAATCTCCCTCTGATTCGCAAGGGCGACGACTGCCTTCGGTGGCGAAGACCTGGAGTAAACTTTGATCAGGCTGACCTCGGGATTCCAGGAAACCACAATGGCTTAGCCAGCATCTCCGAAAAATGATGGTTATGCTGTTGCCACCACAACCAGTGTCGGCGGGCCGTTCAAGTATCAAGTAAGGAAGCGACATTAGCAACAATAACAACAACGGTGGCGGAGAAAACGAAAGTTTGTTCCTGTTCTTGGTAAACTAAGAGTTTAACTCTTCAGAAGTCCAGAAATTGGTGCCAGAGTTATCTGCGAAAAGTTTTACTTAATTAACAGAAGCTGGAGACTACCTATGTGATGAAGACCTCAAAAGGCTTTAGCATTGGCTATCGCTGAACTCTAGGAAGAACATTTCGAAACTGACTTTCCTTGAACCTCGGTATCACTAATCAATATTTATTCTTTCTTTGATGAGCTTACACGAGGTTGATAATGATATTTATTTTCGGCTAAAGTTTCGACGTCTTCGTCTTCCTCAGAGCTGATGATCCGAGTCGATGGTCCATTGTTGTTATTCGTCTCGACGTGGCAGCTTCGCCTTCGTGTCGAGTCAGGTCTTCCTCAGTGAGCCATCTCCTCGATTGAGGCATCCTCACTCAGTGATGCCCTTTTATACACGATGCTGATGGTGGATATAATGATAATGTCCGGTGGTAAAAACTTGTATTTCTTCCGGACATACATCATTGCGCACATTGTGCAGAAGTCGGCGTTTTTATCAGCTAGCACAAAGCGTAGTAATATTTCGAAACCGACTTTCCTTGAGCCTTGGTATCACTAATCAATATGTATTCTTTCTTTGATGAATTCTAGGAAGAATGAAATTCTAAGAAGAATGAATTTGATCACCATTGAACGACATCCATAAAGAACAATTCCAGGAAGCGTCAAGCATTGGTTAACCCAACCGAAAGTCGGCAGGTCTTAACAGATGATGGAAGTGATGAACAGAATCAAGTGAACGTAGTAAAGGAATTCAGCATAGTATGCAATGCCATTAAAATAAAAAGGATGAAGCTCTCGGCGTTGATCAACCTTTGCGGAACGCGCCACGCATTCGGCTTCATTAAACATCGTCGGAGGTGATTGAATGCATATCTGTCCTTTACAATGACTCACGGTGGCCCATCGATGTATCCAGTCGGTGCTACCAGTTTGCCTGACAAGTCTAGTACCAATTTACCGAACCCGACAGGATGGAAAGTAGTGGGTCTGGGGTGAGGGTCGATCCCATGTGTTTTTAGGACACCTCTAACGACTGCGCCACATGCGCTCTTAATGACCTTAATTCTTTCTATTTTTTACGTGACCCGTCACCACATCTACCGTGCGGATTCCGACACGTTTTGCGTTTGATTCGTTTTTCTCGCCCACACTTATCGCCCTCAGAGGTCTTCGAACACTTCACGTATTTCCATGACCGATTTTCTGTTAACCTCGGCACTGATTGATAATTCGGTGTTTTCTTTAATAAGCAGACACGAGGTTGTTATTATAGGATTTATTAGGATACAATAGCTGACGTTTCGGCAGTTTCGCCTTCTTCGGAGCCTGGAAAGGTCAAATTGAGATGCGATCTACTCGGCCAAACACTTTCATAACCCCAGTAGATAAAACTAAACAAATAAATTTGCATTCGCATAATAAACAGCCTCATTTGAACACCCATTGTTTATTCGTTGTAAGCATTCCAATTAGATGGTGGATAGCAGCGGCACAGAGTAGTACATAGGCGAGGATTGTGCCTGTGTCAGGTCATTGAATCAGCCTGAGGTATGGCGCTAGATCACGCGTGATGACAAGACACTCCCACCTCCTTGCGGTTTATTTTTGAATTTTTGGAATTGATCCAAAACGCTTCAAGAGTTTTACGCGTTGATGTTTTCGATTCGTGCGTGAGGTTAGTGACTCCTACTTCAAAATCTTCTTCGCTGCGTACCGGCATCCTATGCGCGCCTAGTGGAGTATTTTGTTTTAATTTAGATTTACCGACTAGATGTTCTTTTATGCGCATGCAGAGCGGCCTACTCGTTTCGCCAACGTATTCGTCCCTGCACGCTTTACAAGAGATCAGATAGGCTGTACCCGAACTCATGCAATCACCGTGTCTACCATTAGAGCAAATTATGCAGCTTTTCGTTGTACACAGACGGTCATGTAGGCGGTTGCGAACTAGCTGGCGCCTCAGATTACTCGGTGGTATTTCTATCACTCTTATGGAATTCTCTGAACCAGCCTTATTCAACTTATTCAGCAATGTTTTATAGCTGCACTTATTTCGTTTGAAGAAATAAAGGGCAAGAGGAATGGAGTCTTGTTTCCGCTAGAATTATTGCTCATAGGCGTGGTTCTTCCTCTATGCTTGCGCCGAGAGGCTACAGTTTCGTAACCATTTGAAATGGCTATTTGCCGCACCAGTTTCGAGGATTCCTCCCTCTGCTCTCTATTTCCTCTCTACCTGTGCACACGCTGGTGGCGGTTCGAAACATATTTCTTATAAGTGCCCTTTTAGTGTGTGAGGGATGAGAGGAGAGGTATTGAACCATTATATTCCTACTGCTTGGCTTTCGATACCAGTTTGTGTTGTAGACGTTTTCGGATGGGTTGATTTGAGCGTTTAGAAATGGAAGCCAGTTCCCTTTCGGTTTCTCACGGGTGACTTTTATGTACTCTGACTATTCGTTCAATAACTTAAAGCATTTGTCCATCTCCTCTTGTGTGAAGCAGATGACAAAACAATCATCTATATACCTACAGTAGAGTAATGGCGTGAGATCGATTACTGGTGCTTCCTCTTTAGACATAAAGGCAACGGCAAGGGTTGGTGCCAGTCGCTGTCCCATTGCCAACCCTCTAATTTGCGCGTAATACCTCCCGGACCATCTGAAGATCGAGCAGTTTAAACAGACCTTTAGGAGGACCATAAGCGGGTGAATCGAAAAGCTCTACATGTTAATTGCTCCTTTGTGTTGCTCAAGAAGCTCGTGGATGGCTTGCATTGCGGAATCGTTCGACAAGTTAGTGTAAAGGGCAGTAACGTCGAACGACTCTATAACGTACGCGTTTTTAGGATGTGCGTTCCGCAGACGATCTAGGAACATTTGGGTGTTCGTGAAATGGGCTGGCATGTGCTTAAGCAACTAGCTGAGAAATAGATTTGTATACCAAGCAATTCTATCCGTAGGCCTCTCTACACAACTAATGATGGGTCTAACTTTAAAGGTGGATGGGTCAGTAGACGCCAGATCATCAGCGGATATTAACTTTTGGGTTTTGATAAGTAATTATAAGACGGGACAGGTCAGGACTTCGATCTTAAGATGCGAAATGTCTGCTGGTTTTATATCTGCTGCGCTTGGCATTTTGGCCCGCTCGTTGTTCGGTTTTCGATTTTGACTTCTGAATTCCTTTTCAGTAGATGTGCGATAAAGAGATTCGTCCTCAAGATTTTTTTTCCGTTATATCGACATCTAACTGGCGAGAAACTACTACAAACTCTCCACCCTTATCACTAATTGATAGTCTAATACTCTGATTTTATTAGCTCTCGAATCTGTCGCATACCAAATTTTTGCGCAGCTGTAAGGTTCGAACTAAACTTTCTTGCGCGATAGTGGTTAAGGACTTTGGAAGTTTCTCTCGGAAATATGCGAAACTTTATATCTACTTCGTCGTCAGGGTCATAATCGAGGAAACGGAAGTGGTGGTAGTGCCCCTACCTCTCGTTGTTCCTTTTTACTTCGTGTCTCAATTCTAGCGTTGCTGCGGAGTCGATCTTGAAGTTCCTGCAGGCTGCACGCAATCCTACGCAAGGTTTCTTTAGAAATGTGTTGCGCTGGTGAGAAACTTGGACCCAATTGTAATAGCAAGCGCGCGTCATCAGGCAGAGTTATGCCTCCTAACACGGTGACCCTTGACTTTTCATGCACGTTATCGACCAAATTTTCAGTGCTATAAACGAAATAAGCTTTCGTAAGGGATTTTGTTTTGTTTAAATGAAACTGCCTTTTAGGAATGACTTATTCTGAAACTTCCTGCTTAAGGTTCCTTTAGCATTCGACCTAATACAATCGTAAATCAAAATTAACCCACCCACTATTCTGCTCCAAAGGGAATCCTCCAAATACTGAACAAAATAAGATTCCTTTCATTTGCACTTCTTCAATTGTGCATACGTGGTGTCCTGTTTGCACTTCATGTATTGTTTCGGATGTTGCTTGAGGATTTCTCCTTCTGTGAATGTCGTAGAAGGCTGGTGGAGTCGA